TATGTAGTGGATAGGCTTTGGGGATTAGATATCTGGGCCTGTAATGGGTATTGAATCCATTTCAACTTCCCTACTTGACCTCAGATTTTATTCTTGTGTCCCACTCTGAGTACCAGGGATGGGCCTCACTTTCCAAGAATAAATCCATGCCCTTGCCAGTAAAGGACTCTGGGATTTGGGTCTAAATGCTGTGTAGACTGGTTCAAGAATGAGCCAACGGGACATGGAGAAGAAGTATGCTCAGGGCTCTGGGAGAGAACTTGCTTACAATCAACGCCTACCAGGAGCCACAGACCCTCGTCTGGACATTGTTGGTCAAGTATGTGAGGTCTAGGGCTGTGGCAGCCAGTTTGTTGGCAGCCTAAGGATGAAGTTTTGCAAAAGAGAAAATCAGGTCAAAACTCAAGGCAAATAACAGAGCTGGAGACCTGATGGAACCATGTCTCACCTTTGCCCTGCTAGACTTTTATCAGTATGTTAGTCAATGAATAGCCTTGATTTTTAAGCAATTTTAACTTGAGATTTCTGTTTCTGGAAGCCAAAATAAATGTTTTAACATACAGAATCCCAACTTATACTTTCTTAATGTTGTTTTTAAACTTTGAGGTTAGGAATGCTTTTCTGATTATAAAAATAGCATTGATACACACTCACTGTAAAGAATATAGAAAAGATTGGAAGACAATGAAGAAGAAGATAAAAACCATCTGTAAGAAGCAACAACTGGATACGGAACAACAGACTGGTTCCAAATAGGAAAAGGAGTACGTCAAGGCTGTATATTGTCACTCTGCTTATTTAACTCATATGCAGAGTACATATGAGAAATGCTGGGCTGGAGGAAGCACAAGCTGGAATCAAGATTGCTGGGAGAAATATCAATAACCTCAGATATGCAGATGACACCACTCTTATGGCAGAAAGTGAAGAAGAACTAAAGAGCCTCTTGATGAAAGTGAAAGAAGAAAGTGAAAAAGTTGGCTTAAAGCTTAACATTCAGAAAACTAAGATCATGGCATCCGGTCCCATCACTTCATGGCAAACAGATGGGGAAACAGTGGAAACAGTGGCTGACTTTATTCTTCTGGGCTCCAAAATCACTGCAGATGGTGATTGCAGCCAAGAAATTAAAAGACATTTGCTCCTTGGAAGGAAAGTTATGACCAACCTAGACAGCATATTAAAAAGCAGAGACATTACTTAGTCAACAAAGGTCCATCTAGTCAAGGCTATGGTTTTTCCAGTAGTCATGTATGGATGTGAGAGTTGGACTATAAAGAAAGCTGAGCACCGAAGAATTGATGTTTTTGAACTGTGGTGTTGGAGAAGACTCTTGAGAGTCCCTTGGACTGCAAGGAGATCCAACCAGTCCATCCTGAGGGAGATCAGTCCTGGGTGTTCATTGGAGGGACTGATGTTGAAGCTGAAACTCCAATACTTTGGCCACCTGATGTGAAGAGTTGACTCATTGGAAAAGACCCTGATGCTGGGAAAGATTGAGGACAGGAGGAGAAGAGGATGACAGAGGATGAGATGGTTGGATGGCATCACCGACACAATGGACATGGGTTTAGGTGGACTCCGGGAATTGGTGATGGACAGGGAGGCCTGGCGTACTGCGGTTCGTGGAGTCACAAAGAGTCGGACACGGCTGAGCGACTGAACTGAACTGAATCCCATTAGCCCTAGGTAATTGCTATTAATGTTTTGAATTACTCTTTTATTTACATAAATAAACTTACATACACATATTTCCTATTTTGGTGGAACTAATATCCTCAGTTCAGTTCAGTCGCTCAGTCGTGTCCGGCTCTTTGAGACCCTACGAACTGCAGCACGCCAGGCCTCCCTGTCCATCACCAACTCTAGGAGTCTACTCAAACTCATGTCCATCGAGTCGGTGATGCCATCCAGCCATCTCATCATCTGTCGTCCCCTTCTCCTCCTGCCCCCACTCCCTCCCAGCATCAGGGCCTTTTCCAATGAGTCAACTCTTCACACGAGGTGGCCAAAGTATTGGAGTTTCAGCTTCAGCATCAGTCCTTCCAATAAACACCCAGGACTGATCTCCTTTAGGATGGACTGGTTGGATCCCTACTAATATCCTAGTGGGAAATAGAAGACAAATAAAAAATCCAAGAAAACAGATTAATGTCTGAGACTATGGAATGTTGTAGTAATTATTAATTAACCTGTGTTATATCTGTCCAGTGTTGGGTCAATGGTTGCTAGTAATGTTATTCCCCATCTCCACATTCCAGAACAAATCAGCAAAGATTTTAAGTTAATACCTATTAAAATATATTAAGCTTTTAGTGAAAGTAAGTGTTAGTCACTAAGTTCTGTCCGACACTTTGCCACCCCATGGACTGTAGCCCACAAGTCTCCCCTGTCCATGGAATTCTTCAGACAAGAATACTGGAGTAGGTAGCCATTCCCTTCTCCAGTGGATCTTCCCAACCTAAGGATTGAATCTGGGGTCTCCTGCATTGCAGGCAGATTCTTTATCGTCTCAGTCACCAGGGAAGTCCCAGGTGTAATATAATAATGTCTCATGTCCATAAAATCAATGAGTTATCAATATGTTCATTTGTTTCCCTTCAGTAGGTGATGCTTCTTATTTATGGCAAATTGCACTCTGTCAGTAATTGCTTTGGTTCAATCATTGTTAGATTTTTTTCCTAATGGTGTGTTTAACCAATTACAGCTAAGATGAATGTCTCAAATTGATTATTATAGCAGTATACATGTAAAGGGTTCTATGTTCACAAGTATGCTGGGTAAGCCTCCCCCATAGTAGGCCTTACTATTAATAGATGAAAGTAATATGCTGTGTCAGTACCAATCCCTTCAGTTCTAAATGTCTTCATCAATGATTTTCTGACCCATAAGTTGATTGGAAGACTAGAAATATGGGTGTTCACTAGCTGTCTATTGGTTATTGATTTCTAACTGAACTATACAGTGGTCAGAGAATGTGGTTGCTATGATACCAATCCTTAGACATGTAGAGAGACTTGCTTTATGATCCAGCATGTTCAATTTTTGTAAAGTTTCACATATTCTTGAAAGGAGTGTATATTCTGCAGTAGTTGAGTTCTCTGTGTATACATTAAACCAAAGCTTGGTAACTGTGTTATTCAAATCCTCGAGTCCCTTAAAGATGTTTTGGTGCCTTTGATCTATGTGTTAGTTCTTGTGGCTGCTATAACAAATTAGCAGAAATAGGGGACTTCAGACAACAGAAAGATATTCTTTCACGGTGCTGTAAGTCTGAAACCATGGTTTTGGCAGGGCTGTCTTCTCTCTGGAGACTCTAGGGGAGAATTCATTCTTTGCCTCCTCCAGCTTTGGGTGGCTGTTGGCCTTTGGTGTGACAGTGTGACTGCATTGCTCCAGCCTCTGCCGCTGAGGCCACACTGCCTCCTCTTCTGTTTCTGTCTCAGATCTCCCTCCTCCTTGCTCTAATTACGACACCTGCCACTGGTTTTATGTTCCATCTGGATAATCCTAGGGCAATGCAGGAGATCTGGGTTCAATACCAGGGTTGGGAAGATCCCCTGGAGAAAGGAATGGCAACCCACTTCCTGGATAATCCAGGAAACTCTCCTCATCTCAAGGTCTTTAATTACCTATGCAAAGATCTTGTTTCCAAATAAAGTAACATTTACAGGTTCTAGGAATTAAGACACAGAGATATCTTTTGGGGGAGCTACTATTCAACCCATTGCAAACTGTTAAATCATCTATTCTGATGATAGATTTCTCTTTCTTGTACGTCTGTCAACTTGTGCTTTATGTATTTTGTGACCATATTATTAGACACACGTTTATGATTCTCTTGTGTACTGAGTGTTTTTTTAATCTAGTCACATCCACCACCTCAAAAGTCTAGTAATGACAAACTATCATTTGTTGCCTGCAAAAACTATAATTTCTCTTTCCTCTCACATTCTTTTCTTGCCAGGCTTATAACTCTAAGGTTACAATTCTCCCCCCACCCCGCCCCCAACGCTGAGCATTTCACTCTGAAAATTGTCTTTTTTTCTTTATCATATTCCCCAAATGTCCCAGGGCCAGAGAATCAAAACCCTGTGCTGATTCAAAAAATATATGCCCTTAATGAATATGAGAGAGCATTTTCTGAAATTAAACCATTCTAAGTGCTCACAGGGCTTCCCTGGTGGGACAGTGGTAAGCAATCTGCTAGCCAATGCAGGAGACATGAGATCAATCCATGGGTCAAGAAGATCCCCCGGAGAAGGAAATGGCAACCCACTTCAGTAGCCTTGTCTGGGAAATCCCATGGACAGAGGAACCTGATCGGTTCCTATGATCCATGGGGTTGCCAAAGGGTCAGACATGATTTAACGACTGAAAAAACAACAAGTGGTCAAAACGCTTCATTAAGTATAGTGCAGAATACGCTGAGAAAATACTTGTAGAGAAGCTGAAATAAATGTGGACACTGAAGTATATCAGAGACAACTTCTCAGTGGCTGAAGTGATTTACGTAACTTCAAACTAATTACATATCTGTGGAAATAAAGATTCATTATTTGCTAGCTTAAAGTAATTAAGGGTTTTTTCTAGACAACTTTTCACCAGCACAGAACGAGCGCCACAATAAACAACTGTAACCACACATTCTCACACAATATACTGCTATTGCTATAATCCGAGAATGCAGAGGAATAGAAGAAATTATAATAGAGTTACATAATGTTTCTTCTTTGTCCCTCAAAACTCTAATCTCAAATTTGTAGCTAAGATTTGTGAGACAGCATACAGAGAGAGGCATTTTGAAGTTTAAAGTTTCTGGCCTCAGTGTATGGAGGAATTAGGAACTTAAAAAATCCTTGATTAGCTCAAACATACTTAGTATTTTTAGTCACTCTGCTGCTTCGCCTGTTATTCACCAGAATGAGGGTTTGGGACGGGTCTGCAGATGGCCATGAGCTATTCAGCAAAGGGCCGCCCTCGGTGGTCCCAACCCGTTTATGATGTTCGACCCGGACCCTCTACTGGCCACCAAGGTTACGTATCAAGCAAAAGCCGGAAATGCAAGGCCCTCTGTGGTCCGAAGGCCCGGTAAATCTGGCGAGCGGAAGAAAAACACGGCCGAAAGGGGAAGCCTGGGTCACATCGACCGTCAAGGCTCTGGACACATCTTCAGTCACAAACTCGGCTGCCCGTCGTCCTGGTAACCAGCTTGCGAAAGCGCGTGCGCAGCTCCACTCCCTTATCACGTGAGTCCGGGCGCGGGGCGGGGCCGGAGCCGGCTCCCCAGGAACTGGGTCGCCCAGCGCCTGCGTCTCTGCGCGCTATCAGTCGAGGCGGGGCGAACCTCTGTTCTCCCGCCCGGTGGTGGTTCACAGCTCCCGCCCCTTTTCGCTCCGCTTTCCGGAGGCTTGTTTCCTCGCACCACGTGCCCTCCTGGCCGCTCCTCCCCCGCTGCCCGCCCTTTCCCCAACTGCCTGTTGGAAGCTGCTGTAAAATGTCGTGAAGAGCGCTCCCGCTTTACGGCTGCCTCTCCCCAGACTGGAACCCGGGAGCGGCCACCGCCGTCAGTCCTGTCTGCAAAGAGGTGCCCCGGCGGAGACTGAGAGACCAGAGGCACGCCGCTGCCCCTCCCCGCCGCGCCCGCTCCGGCCCTCGGCGATGTGAGCTCGAGGAGGCTGCGGTGCCCGCCCCCCACCCCGGCCCGGCCCGTCCCGGGGTTGAGACGGGCAGCAGGTGCCTGTGAAGGCGGGCGGGTGCTGGGGGCCTGCAGGATGGAGGAAAGCATGGAAGAGGAGGAGGGGGGCAGCTACGAGGCAATGATGGACGACCAGAACCACAACAACTGGGAGGCCGCCGTGGACGGCTTCCGGCAGCCCCCGCCGCCTCCGCCACCCCCGCCTTCGATTCCAGCCCCTGCCCGAGAGACTCCCGGGGGTCAGATGCTGGCGATGCCTGCGGTCTCCGTGGACAGAAAAGGCCCCAAGGAGGGGCTTCCGATGGGGCCGCCGCCGCCGCCGGAGGCCAATGGGGTGATCATGATGTTGAAGAGCGGCGACGCGGCCTCCGTGGCCAAGGCGGCCCCCGCCCCCACCCCCGGCTCCACCATCAACATCAACACCTCCACCTCCAAGTTCTGTGAGTCCAGCCTTTTCGCCAGCAGCCTTGGCTTTTCCTCCTCCCCACGCGGACGCCGAATCCGGCCCTCTCGGCCAGCCCTTCTTTCTTTGTTTCAGGCCTGGGTCTCCTCTTCCCTCCTTCCCCGCGTCCCTCCCTCCCTTCCCGGGTTTGGTGTCGGTGGGCCGGCGCCGGAGCGGCCCTGGCTTCTTGTATTACCTGGCCTATAAAAGAGCAGCCTGGGTTAAACGCACGCAGCCCCGAGTTCTCCTGCAGACGCGATCCGTATCAGGACTGGCTCGCTCTCAACGTTAGGGAGCTCTTTTCTTTTCCGTTCCCCCTTAAGTTTCACCCTCAAACGTGAAGGGAAAAGTATAAGGCTGCCGGGTTTCGTTAGGGAGAAGCCTTCAGTCTTTTTGTGTTTTTGCAGCCAGAGGAAAAAGAAATCTGGCCACTGTGTTTCTGTGCCTTTAGCCAGCCTGCGTTAAGCAAGTCAGCAATTAGAAAGTTGACCTGTATCTGCACTTCGTTCTTTCCCGTCTCCAGTGCACGCCTTCTGCATCCTCATAGGGAAAATGTATGAGTTGCTTCTTGAGTTAACACCAGTGCAGTGGGAGCTACGACATCCGTTTTGAAGCTAATACTGTATAAAATTATTTTTCAAAGCCTACGCTCATAAGAATAAGCCATTCGGTATGTGTCCCAAGTCCAAGGTTGTGTTGAATGTTGAACTTTTATGTTAGTGATCCGCCTTAACGCTAAATTGCAGGCAGAAAGATTTAAGACCAAATCTCTTCTGTAACTGAAACTGTCCCCAGCCAGGGATGTATGCTTCCACAGCTAGAAAAAAAAAGTGCTTTTGCTTTAAGCGAGTTTTTTGGGGGGCTGGTGGTGGTGGAAATCGATCGCCACAGCCAGATTTTTTCCCTCCTATTAATAACTACAGGTTTTGAATGGCATCTGGTAAAGCAACTGGAGATTTCATTTCTAGTTGCTAATTTTACCAAGCTGTACCAGTAATTGTCCAAGTAGCTGTGCAGAGAAAGTGCCTTGGTTCAGGTATATAGTGGTAGCCTTACATGTTTTGGGGGAAGGAGCACATTACCTTGTTTATGTGCCTTCAACGTGGACACATTCATATGTAGTTACGGTTGATAAGATTTCTCTAGGTTTTTTTGTATTGTGAATAGGAGAGAATAATGTTTGTATTGTATAGTTTCTGTGTTGAAGTCTATGTAGTGAAACCAGATCTGAGACAGAGTGGCAGGGTGACTTATCTAAATGTTGAAGGAAGCTTGCCTTAGTGCTTTTACCAAATTCATTTCAAGAGTTCCAAAAAAACCAGCCTACAGTTAAGAGCATAAATCAGTGAAATTAGGAACAAAAGAAAGATTGGCCAAACTGAAAGAAGATGTTTTGAAGGTAAATAAGCTAAACAGATCTCTGATTTTAAAAAGATGCAGATAAAATAAGTGATAAATGGGAAACGGCTACAAACGTGAGATGTTTAAAAAATAATTTTATGAATTGCTTTCGGTTTATAAATTTGAAAGTCTGGAGGAAATGTATAAATTCTTAGAAAACTACAAGCTATGAAGGTTGATATCAGAAGAAATAGATAGCTTGAGCTGACTAATAAATATTTAATGAACAATGGCAAAACCTCCCCTTTTAAAAAAACCCTGTATGAAGATAATCTTACTGAGTTGCAATGAATTTTTAAATGAAAATTTCTTTTTAAAGGTTTGTCTGGGAATAGGGGAAAAAAAAGAAGAGGCCCGACTCATTTTATAAAGTTAGTAAAGTCTTGATTTCAAAACTAGTTGAGGTCAGTATGAGAAAGTTATACATCTATAGTGTAAACAAGAAAATCCTGCATAGAATACTAGCTCATCAAATCCAACAATGTGTTGAAAGAATCTTGATCAGAGTTTAAGAATGTAAATATGCCATGGCTGATTCATGTCAGTGTATGACAAAACCCACTACAATATTGTAAAGTAATTAGCCTCCAACTAATAAAAATAAATGAAAAAAAAAAGAATGTAAATACGGTTCAACATCTGTTTGTTAAAGTAATTTGTCTCATTAATAGGCTGAAGGAGAAAAGTCATCAATTATTTGTATACCATAAAATCATTTGATAAGATCCAGCACCGATATATGATAAAAAATCTTAACAAACTTTGAACACAAGATAACTAGATAATGGTCGTTAACCAAAAACTTACAGCAAATAATAATAGAGAAATTTCAGATACACTTACTTTAAGATCAGTAACAAGATAAGGATGCCCTTGTATCACTGTTGGTATTTAACATAAGGAGGTCCTGACTGACACTACAGAGGGAAAAATAAAAAGTATAAGGATTAGAAGGAAAGCAAGAAAACTCATTATTTGCAGATAATATTACTTATTTAGAATAACCATTAGAATCAAGAGAGAAACTGTTGGAACTAGTAAGAGTTTAGCAGGGTTACTGCTTTTAAAATCAACCTACAGAAATTAGTAGTATTTAGCACACTAGCAATAAGCATGCAGTAAAATAATCAAAGATAAATATTGTATACAGTGGTGGGAACAAACTAGTTTCTAGGAATGAACCTAAGAGCACGTGAGATCTTTAAGGAGAGAACTTGAGTAAGGAGCCAGAAATGTCTTCTCAGTTGCACAGTTGAGTCTGATTATTTGCAACACCATGGACTGTAATGTAGCCTGCTAGGCTCCTCTGTCCATGGAATTTCCCAGGCAAAAATACTGGAGTGGGTTGCCATTTCTCTCAGGATCAGATCCTCTTCTCTTCCATCTCCTTCATTGTCAGGCAGATTCTTTACCACTGTGCCGCTGGGGATGCCCCCAGGGAGCCAGAAGAGGATCTGTATAAATAAACGAGAAAACTTTCCATGCTCTTGGGACTATTTATTGTTGTAAGGATGTCAGTTTTCTCCATTTCAATCTGTAAGTTTGAGTAAACTGCCGTCAAGATTCCAGTCGGTTTGTCTAACAAACTTCATAAACTAGATCTAAAATTTATATGACAGGTGGGATAAAGTCTGAATAGCTAAATCAGTCTTAAAGATTTGCTTTGGTGGGGGCTTGCCTTACCAGAAGTTAAGATTCTGTTTCAAAACTATAGTAATAAAAACTAATAGGAATGTGAGAACATAAAAATAGACTGGGGGGACCTATTAGCAGAAAGTTACCTATAAATGTTTAGGAACTTAAGGGTGTCATAAATCATTAGAGAAAGTCATGTTGCTCGGAAGAGTGATTCAACAGTATGGGGAAAAAAAACAATATAACACCACAGATGGGATGAACTATAGATAATTAGAGATTTAAGTGTGAAAGGAAAAGTTAGAAAATTAATGGAAGACAGTGTTGAAGACACTTTTTCCCTCAGGACAGGGAAGGGCATCTTAAAGCTGCTAAGACTTAAACAGAGGTGAAAAAACGATAATTTCGTAGGAAAAAAATGAAAGATTTTTCTTTCCATGACAGACAGATGAAAGAATTAGAGAAGATATTTGCAGTACCTAAAATTGCCAAGGGATCTAGTTTGGAATTTATTCAACTTTTGCTTGTTCACTGGAGTGTTCTTTTACCTTCATTTTCTAAGGATAATTTTGCTGGAGATACAATTCTAGATTGACAATCTTGTATTGTCTTTGTTTTTCCTTTCAGTACTTTAAAGATGTCTTTCCTTTGTCTTTCAACCTCCATTATTTCTCATAATAAATCTGTGAATATTCTAGTGTCTATGTAATGTGTCCTTTTTTTTTTTTTCCTGGCTCTTTTTAAGATTTTCATTTTATCTTTCATTTATTATAAAATGAAATGAAAATTTAGTTTGATTGTGTTGTTTCTTGGGGGTAGAGTTTTCTTTAGGTTTATTCTTTTTAGTGTTCTTTGAGCTTAGGGTTCTGAAATCTGTCCAGTTTGGGACATTATCATTCAGAATGACTACGCGGTGCCCCTCAGTTGCACACGTTAGGTACACTAAATCACTGAGGCTCTGTTCATTATGTTTTTTGGCTTTTTCACCCCACTTTGTGCTTCACTTCAGATAGTTTCTATTGCTGTGTAGTCTTTGGTGTTTAATTTGTTGTTTGTTCAAGTCTGCTCTTGATCAGCAGGAGTTCCAACTGTTTTTAACATAGGCTATCATTTGATCCAGGTTTCAGTCAGTTAACTGAGCAAATCGTTATAATCATGTCTAGTTTCTTGAGATTTTACAATGACTCTTCAGTTAGTGTATTCCTTCTGATAAGTCTCATCTAAAGTTATATTTCAGTCTTTAGAATTCTTAAAAAGTCTTCTGAAAGTCTACATAGGCATATGTAGAGGTATTAACGGGTTATGTACCAAACCATTGCAATAAAGTGAACCACGTGAATTTTTTGGTTTCCCCAGTGCCTATAAAAGTTATATTTATAGTCTGTTAAGTGTGCAATAGCATTATGTCTAAGAAACAACAAACATAACAATTAAAAATACTTTATTGCTAAAAAAATGTTAAATGTCATCTGAACCTTTAGCAAGTCATAATCTTTATGCTGGTAGAGAGTTTGCAGTATTTTGAGAATTACCACAATATGACAGAGATGCAAAGTGAGTAAATGCTGTTGGAAAAATGGCACCAATAGACGTGGCTGACCTAAGAGTTGCCACAGAACTTCTGCTTGTAAGAAGCACAGTATCTGCAAAGTGCAATAAACAAAGCACAGTAAGATGAGTTTTTTTTAACTACAGTGCGTCTACTTTTTTTGGAATGGAGGCTGGCTCCTGTTTGTTTAGATTTGGTGCTGGTTCCCCTGGGGAAATTTAATTTAGTTGGAGGTTTATTTCCAGGTAGTATTGTGGCAGGGGCTTCTGTCAAGTAAAGATCAGCCTCATACCGGGGAGAAGGGGTCCTCCTCTCTGTGAGTACTTTGAGGTCAGGATTCTCAGGTTGATAAAAACACCAAACTGACCCCATTTCAGGTCTCAGGGTCTTACCATTTCACAATCAGTGCCCTA